GGTTATGATCTACAAAAATGGGGTTCTCTCTCCACCTATCTCCCAGTCAAGAACTACAGGGTATTTATGAGACTTACATCATTTCTCATCTACCAATACACAGATATTATTATTACAGATGGTAAAAAATTAGGCATCTGTGGATAGAGGTCAGGAGTACTGTTCCTACATCCAGCTACCATCATGAACACATTGCAGAGAATACCAAGAACCCGATCACCCTTGACCAGCTGAATCACATGAAAAAATTCATTCTGTACAGGGATTCTCAGTCAGATTAACAATTGACTTTTAAATCAGAAACCATGGAGCACAGAACACATTGGGATGACATATTTATGGTGATGAAAAGAACCCACACTCAACAAAGAATCATATGAGTCCTAAGTTTAGACACTCATAAGTATGAAATTAAAAGCAGAACCATAAAATAAAATTTTTGAATCTCCCTTTTTCAAAATAATTGTTTTCTCTATATAACATACGAGAATGAAAAATAATAAATCACAGATATTAGGAAGAGCTTCCATATGGGAAGAGAAAAATTTAAATAGGAGAATTTAATGACATCAGTCAGCACCCTGGTTGTAAGGTAGAAGTCTAACTAAGGAGCAACAGGCCCCTACACTTGCTCTCATCTATAAAGCAGTAGCTTGGAGGCCAACGCTGTGGCGCAGCAGGTTAACCTTGGCCTGGGGCGCTAGTATCCCATATGGGTGCCTGCTCCATTTCCGACTGCTCCATTTCCGATCCAGCTGCTCCATTTCCGATCCAGCTCTCTGCTATGGCCTGGAAAGAGATTGAAAGATGGCCCAAGTCCTTGGGTCCCTGCACACATGTAGGAGACCCAGAAGAAGCTCCTGGCTCCTGACTTGGGATCAGCACATCTCCGGCCATTGCCGCCAACTGAGGAGTGAACCAACGGATGGAAGACCTCCCTCTCTCTCTCTCTGCCTCTCTTCTCTCTGTGTAACTCTTTCAAATAAATAAATAAATCTTAAAAAAAGCAGTAGCTAAGAGTTTTTTCTAGTGAAAGAGGCCAGCCTTATGGGAAAATATTATTCAATCATTCCTTCTTAAAATAAGTGACTTTACTTAAATTTATGACTTCAGTTGTAACAGAAGATGGAGACAATATAAAAAGCAACATAGAATTTGTTGCTAAGTAATTAAAATGGACTGGTAGATGCATGAAATAAAGTAACTGAATCATAGGCCATAGTAAGTTTCATTTTCAATTTGTCTTAATTTCAATTTATAGTTGATATATTGCCCCAAAATTCCACTCCTAGCTATTAACACAAGTGACATAAAACTTTTGCTTACATATACATTATTTTGCAAATGGATAGAGTAGCTTTACTCATATTCACTAACAACTGGAAGTAAGCCTTCATCTGTGATTATTATCCAACTCAGTAATACAATTAACCACACTACTGATAGTTTTCATGCATCCTTCTCTATCTTTCTCTGCTCTCTCTGTGTCTCTGTTCCTCCCTCCGCCCTCTCTCCTTCTCTACCCTCACTGCATTAGGAATGGATGTCTACAGGAAACTAACAATAAAACTAAGACTTTTTTTTTTAATTGAAAAGTGGCCAAAAGTAATTACATAAGAGTATAAATTGCTAACTATGATAAATGAATGCTAATAAGCTGGTACTTTTCATTGTATTCAAACATTACATGGAGAATTTTCTAGGCCTATGAAAAAGGAGTTTTAAAATCACAGAAAGTAAAATATTGGTTTTCCATGAATTAATGATCAGAAACACAAGGGGTGGTGAACTTTTGGAGAGACTGAAGGGAAACTCTGAAAATTATGAAAGCAGCTGGAAAGGGAAAATACATTAACAGATTTGAACATAGTGGTAAGGAATAAGTTCTGCAAAACTAATAATATTTCTCCTGAGTCACAGAACAACATAACTGTGTCTGAAGTCTCTTCCCATTTTGTTCAGGCAACTTTGGAAAAATGTACATGAATCCAAGAATGACAGGAAGGAAAGCACCTCAATGAAACACTATTGCAAGTTCTCCATTCCTGATATTTATCCTGGGGGATTCCCATAAGATAGTTCCCTAAAGTAGACCAACAAGAGTGGCAGAGAAATGTGTGAGGTAGCGGTATACCTGTACTACAGGGAAACCATCTGCCTGCATGCAGGTAAACACACAAATGCACCCAATGGTGCTATCATATATGTTGTTTGTGTCATGTGTTACTCACTCTCAGAGGTTTCAATCATATTAAATAATACATGATTGTCACTCTCTGGAGTAGGGTACCACACACAGCAAGTCAACATAAATATTGAAAATGTTTGATCTGTAGATGACATAGCTAAGAAAATGAAACATGTAAGACACGGAGATAAAATATACACAAGTTGTATTTCTGATAAAGAAATTATAATCAGAATATATAATATACTAAGAATTCAACAGTAAGAAATCAAAGAACTCAATAAAATGGGAAAATATCTCAAAAGACACTTTATTGTAGAAGATTGTGGATGATGAATAAGAACGTGAAAATATCCTCACTATCATTAGTCAATAAACAAATGAAAATTTAAATAACAGTGTGATAGATACGCAAACCATAGAGAATAGTTTAAAGTATATGTCAAAACCAAACTGTGATGATTGGGGCAACTGCATCTCTGATGCATTTATTGTTCATAAAAACAAAAAATGATAAAAAGCATTCTGAAAAAGCTTTGTTTCTTACCAATTTAAACATTCTACAGAACTAAACTTCCTACTGCAAATATTTATATAAATGAAATGAAATTTGTCTTCACATATGTCCCAGTATTCAAAATTTCTAGTAGCAGTACTAATCAGTTTTACTTTAACTAAAATACTTGAGAAGAACAACTTAGAACAGAAGCTTCATGTTTGCTTAGATTTTGGAGGTTAAAAGTCCAAGATCAGGTAGCCCCATTATCATGGCATCTGGTATAGGCTGGCAATGATGGAGCATGTCTTGAGAATGATCATATGGTGAGCTGGAACACAGAGAGATACAGGAGGCACATTTGGCTTATACAACGAGTATTCTCACAAGAACTACCTTCCGAGGGTTAGACTCAGTGACCTAAAAACCCTCACGAGGCTCACCTCTTAGATGTCATAATTATATCAAGCTTCTACCCTTAACCCATCAACTTTTAATGCAAGATTTGGGGTTTTTTAACATCTACATGAAATTGGGGAGCCAAATCCTGTTCAATCCATAATAGAGCTTTATTCATAATCACTACTAATAACCAACATTTTCTTCATATTTGGTATATTACTTAGCAACAAAAAGAAAAAGAGGGAGGAATCTTGCTGCTGAGCGGTGTATAGGCCTCTATGGAGGTGACTCTGGAGGGAATCAGAAATGCCACCATGATGGTGGGCAAGAGCATCAAGATGCTGCAGCACATTAACTACTGGGTGAGATGCATCCTACGAGTCAGCCAGATCTTCATTGGCACGTTTATGGCTTTGCTATGCATATGTATTTGGTCCTAAGTGACTGTAACAAGTTCAAAAGACCAAGCCAAAGAGCTCCAAACAAGTAGAAAGGGAATAGAAGCAAGTCTGTGGTCTGGTGCTACTGCTAGGAGAGAGCCTGGTCTCAATGACAGTAGAGGAGATCTCCTCCAAAAGATACTGGCATTGCCTAAGTACCACTTCCTGGAGCTCCTGGGGACCCAAGAATTGGCAGGCTGCTGGCAGAGGAATCCCAGCTGGTGTTCCCATGCCTCAGGCTCCTGCAGGACTGCAGGACTTGCTAGCCTGTTCTGTGGGGTTATAGGCAGTTCCAACACGTGATGACCCCACAAGGAAGAGACACTGTTGACACTGCTGCAGCAGCTGCAACAGCCAGTTGCAGGGGCCCCGGGCCAGTACCCACCTGGACATACAAGTCCTTCCCCACCTACAGGCCAAGGACACCTCTTTCAGGAAAGGTGGGCCCACTTCCTAGTATGTGGCCTCCTATGGGTTTCCCAGTGTAGATTCCCCTGGAAGAGGAACTCCATATGCATGCTTCCCCAGAGATAGAGTCACCTCCTCCAGGGAGGCCAGGCCTTCTTTGACCCTTGGCCGTGGAGTTATGGAAGGAGATCCACAGAGGCATGGACCCGAAGCCACAGTGCCACGTTTCCACAGACCTATTTGCTATGCTGTTATTTGCAGCATCTTGACAGATTGTCTGGTTTCTCTCACAGGGCCCCTCCCCCAGGAAGGTGACAACAAAGGCCCTAGACTCATCTTAGTGCTCCTCAGCTCCCAACCTGTTTACTGTAAGGCTGTGAATAGTCCTGTTATTTCCTTGTGGCCTATGAGACTGGTTTATAATAAACTCTTAAGAGGTTATCATAAACGCAAAAATGTTTTTAAAAAAGAGTGTGGCCATTGTGGTGGAGCAAGTTAAGTTGTCACTTGGGATGACTGGATCTAATATCAAAGTGCTAGATCAAGTCCCAGCTACTCTAGTTCCTTTTATAAAAGATTTATTTTGGTTGATTTGAAAGGGAGATTATCAGATAGAGAGAGAGAGAGAGAGAGAGAGAGAGAGAGAAATCATCCACAAGCTGTTTTACTTCCCAAATGGTGGCAATGGTTGAGGCTGGGCCAGGAGCCTGGAACTCCATCCAGGGCTCCCAAGTGGGTGGCAGGGGCCCAGGCATTTGGGCCATCTTCTGATGCTTTCCCAGGTGTGTTAGCAAGGAGATATATCAGAAGCAGGGCAACCAGGACTCGAGCTAGCCATCCAATATGGAATGCTGGTGTTGCCAGGGTGGCTTCACCCACTGTACAAAAACATTTCTGGTTACTCCACTTCTAACCCAGCTTCCTGCTAATGACCCTGGGAGGAAGCATATTACGGCTCAAGTACAGAGTCCCTGCCACTCACATGGAAAACCCAGATGGAATTTCTGGTTCCTGGTTTTGGCTTGGCCTGCTCCAGGCTCTTGCAAGCATTTGGGGGAGTGATTTCTCTCTCTCTCTTTCTCTCTCACTTTGCTGCTCTACCTTTCAAATAAGTATAAATTAATGAACATTAACATTTCTGAAGAAAAGTTAAAATAATATCAATTCACATAAAAACATTGACAAATTCTGAATGCATATTTTTAAGTGAAAGGAACCAGACCAAAGAACAACACATCATGTGACTATGTTTGTATGACATTCTATTAGAAAGGCAAATTATAAGGGTGGAAAACTGAGATGTGGCTGCCTGGGATTTGGCTGGGGTATCAGATTACTACTGAAGGAAAGCATGAGGAAATTTCGGGGGTGATGGAACTCTTTTGCATCATAGCCTTGGAGGTAGATACAGAACTTTATGCATTTTTCAAAAACCTATAAAGGGAGAGACGTATTAATCTTTTAAATGCATATTTCTCAGGAAAAGTGTTCCAAGAATGTAATTCTGTCTATGACACTTACTGAAATTCAGAAGGATATGCAGCTATCATAAGTCAACTACAACCAGACAACCAGAATCTCAAAACAAAAGTAGGAAAACAAACATTTTTCATGCAGATCCTATACATAAAATATCAAAAAAATAGTGTGCCAAAAACACATATCAAAAAATAAAGCAAAATACAGAAAAACGTTTAACCACAAAAATAGTATTGTGAATATTAGACACATGTACAGTGGTGATGGTGGTAAGAAATAAGAAAACAATTTTTCTTATTTTGATTAAGTAAACGTTTACAAAATATTGAAGTATGGTGATACTTATGGGTTATTAATACAACAGAATCCCACACAGAACATTCCCAACTTTCTTAACAAAATTAAAGGAAGAATGCATCAACTTACCTCCTTTTGTCCCATACAAAGAAGTGAAATTTGTGTCTTGGTCCTTAAACACCTATCCAGTCCAGCTGATAACACTCAGGTATATGACACTTACCATCCCCAATTCTGTCTCCTTCCCAAAACAACAGACATATAACTTCTAAAAAGTACCAAAATAACATCATATCAATGAGAAGAATTTCTTAAGAACTATGTAGATACTCTAATAAATTGATAATTATAGAGGATGGATTCACATGTATTTTCAAATGAAATATCCTTTAGGCCTATGAAGAAAGAACAAGATTCAAAACCTGACAGTTAGAAAATCTGAACTCTAGCTGGGTTAATGAACTGAGAAGTGGGGATGAGTTAGAGTGAATCTCAAAGAGAAGCTTTGAAAACGCTGAGGGCAACTTACGCAGAAAAACAGATTAAAGAATTTGGGGGGTGGGGCAGGAAAAAGTATCTACAAAAGGAAAAAAAATACTTCACAGCCAGTGAAGAGCACCATGACTACATTAAAAGCCTTGTTCACCTTTCCATCAGGCAACTTCAGAAAGTGGATATGAATCACAGAAGGAAGAGCAGCAGGATTTGTTTTTATTTGGTTGTTTTTTTGTCAGGACCTTCATGTCCCAGAACTTGTCTCTGAACAAGTACCTAAAAGAATTTCCATGAAGGAGGCTAGCACTAGGGAGTGGAGGGGTGACAATTTTGTACTCTTGGGAAAGCTTCCCTTTGTGTGCAACAAAACATACCTACCATCTATGTTGTACGTGGTATGTGTTACTCTCCTTGCAGAGGCATCAATTATATTTAATTGTATACGATCACCAGTTTCTAGAGTAGAACCACACACACATACACTGCATGTCTAAGTGTGGAAAGCCCACCTAAACACCTACATGAGTCCTTTTGAAATGACCACTCAATGCTTTGAGGCTCTATGTGTCTACTGACATTTATCCAAAGGGCTTTTGTAATACCAACCCCACTGTCTTTCTTCTTCCATCCCTCCTAAGTGCTATACCCACAGGTATAACCTGTGTTACATGGCAGTGTTCAGAACTGAGAACTACTAAGCCTTGTCCTTACATCCTCTTGCTAATAGAATAAATATTCTTAATTGCCTTTTCCTGCTTTTTTCCCCCGAGTGTTTTAATAAAGTCTTAATTTGAAGGACCCAGATCTTAGTTGAAAAGAAAATATACTCCAATACTCAATCCCAACATCATTACTCAAATATCTGAAGCCCTCTTAATTAGTTACTTTTCTTAACTCTAAAACTACAGAATAAGCAGTGAAAAACTGCAAGATCATAAAAGCAAAAAACAGGAAAATAATTATTAATTTGTGAGTTGCAGAGTAGAAATCCCTTTTGCTCCCAAGAGCCTGGTATAAAAACAAGCCCAGATTCATTATCAGAATGATGTACAAAATAGATAGGAGCTTAAGTACTAGAGATGCCCATATATTCCTCTGGGAGCTTGGAATTTCTGGCTATTTACCTAGAGCACTTTGAATATGGTTTTGCATTTTTCTTCTATGACACATGCTACTTGATGTCAGAGTTTCCATGGAAATACTGATCACACTACTCCAAAATACAGGAAAACAAGTATAGTGAATTGATTCTAGAATCTGAGGGTGGAATTTTGACCTGAAAGCATCTGGTAGGATTCTTTGCTGAATGTTATATAAGTTCACATTCATTTAAAATTACAGAAATTTCCCCCAAAATATTATTGTATGTAAATTAAAATTTAAAATATATTTAAAAATATATTTGTGAAGTTTGAAACATATATATATATATATATATGTGAAGTTTGAAACATACATATTGGAAGGAAATACAAGTAAAATAAATTCCAGTTTTAAATTGGAGATCCTTATTAAAATAAGCAACAAGACTGAAAGGTCTTTTAACTATGGAGGTGGTGAAGTCTGAGAAGCATCATACCTATTTTTTTTTAGTGATTTTTTTTTTTATTTTTTGACAGGCAGTGTCACTCCCCCTCTTCATGGAGGAGCAACACTAAACCCTGCCTAGGCTTCATATCCGAGTCACGGCACCATTATGTCGCTCCCCCTCTTCGTGGAGGAACGACACAGGACCCTGCGCTGTTCTTTCGTCTGCTCGGCCCTCCCCGGGTTTGCTGCTGGTTCTTCCCGGGTTGGCTACTATCCCTTCCACCTCCGTGGAAGGGCAGTTCCCCCTGGCCACATTCCCCACTTCCGCAGGGGAGCGGCACACCGCCGGCCGGCTCTTCTCGGGGGCTGCACGGGTGTTCCTTCAGCTAGATGCTCCCCTTAGATGTTCCTGGTGCATGCCGTCTCTCTCCTCCTTTATAGTCCTCCTCCGCCAATCCTAACTCGGCTGCCCACACGCCGAGTACGCTGCTCTCCTCCAATCAGGAGCAAGTCCTACAGTTTATTAGCTGAACTGGAGGCAGCTGTGCGGAAGCTGTTTACTTCTCTCCCAGCGCCATATTGTGGGAGAGCAGATGCACAGAACAAGTCCCAATTCCAGTAACTCAGTCTAGTCCGGTTTGCTCCCCACAAGGCAGAGTGGACAGTGAGAGAGAGAGACAGAGAAAAAGGTCTTCCTTTGCCGTTGGTTCACCCTCCAATGGCCGCCGTGGCCGGCACGCTGCGGCCGGCGCACCGTGCTGATCCGAGGCCAGGATCCAGGTACTTCTCCTGGTCTCCCATGGGGTGCAGGGCCCAAGTACTTGGGCCATCCTCCACTGCCTTCCCGGGCCACAGCAGAGAGCTGGCCTGGAAGAGGGGCAACCGGGACAGAATCTGGCACCCTGACCGGGACTAGAACCCGGTGTGCCGGCGCCGAAAGGCGGAGGATTAGCCTAGTGAGCCGCGGCACCAGCCCAGCATCATACCTATTTTGCAGGTTTTTAATAAACAGTGATGAAGACTGGGGTTAAGGAAATCATTTTAATGTCAAAAAGTCCTGAAATTTCCCTTCCTTATTAGGAAAAGTATGTATTGTATATCAATACCTGAAGAGGGGATGGTGTTGTGGCATAGCTGATTGAGCCACCACCTGCAATGCTGGCATCCTAATGGCTGCTGGTTTGCATCACTCCTGCTCCACTTCTGATCCAGTTCTCTGCTAATGGCCAAATTAGCAGAGAATGATCCAAGTACTTGGACTCCTGCCACCTACATGGGAGACCTGGGAGATGCACACAGCTCTTAGCTTCAGCCTGCCTCAGCACCAGCCATGATAGCCATCTGGGGAGTGAAACAGCAGATGGAAATCTCTTTCTGTCTCTCACTCTCTCTCTCTCCCTCTTCCCAATTGAATGCCTCAAAGTCCACCCACCTTATAGGGCTATTCTCTCTGTGCAGTTTACACACAATGAGAAATATCACTTTCCTGTCCATTTTCCATGGCAGACAAAATACCAGTGAACCCTAATAGGAAAGGCTCCAATCTACTCTTGATATTGCAGATCTATGAGTTCTCTTCTCATGGAGATTTATTGCAATAGGTCTGTCAATTCACACTTCCTTGTTCTCCTACTACCATGTCGCCTTAGGCTGGGCCATTCTCTATTCCATCTAATAGGGATGTAGAAGCACAAACATCATCGCTAGGGTCCCCAAAGGTTCATATGGTGAAAACTTAGCTCCCAAAGTATCAGTATTGAGAGGTGGTAGAACCTCTAAGAGGTGGAGCCTAGTGGGAGGGGATTAGGTCACCCCTCATTTCCCATGAGTGGGTTATGCCTCATGGGACTAGATTTGTTACTGTGTAAGCGAGTAATTATAAATGAAGTTTACCTTCCTCAGCTCAGTCTTGCTTCTGCTATCACCATGTGATCTCCTTTCCTTGCACAAGTTATATGATGCTATCCGCCATGAGGGTCTCATCAGAAACAGATGTTAGCAGCATGTTCTTGGTCTTCCAGAACTGTGAGTTAAATAAAATCTTTTTTTTAATAGGTACTCAGATATTTTGCTATAGCAATGCTAAACAAAGACAGCCATAATAGCCATGTACTGTATTTAGGTTGGTAGAAAACAGCAAGTGAGATTCTTTCTTCTGTAGACACACCTGCATACAGCCACCATCAGTTTAACAGGCAGTTGTAAATTTCAGAGAAGATATGTGTTTCTCAGTTTCTGATCTGTATTCCTCATGATCAAAGATCATCAATGTCAACAAAAGCATAACTTTAAATGTTTTCAATTCCTTACTGATGTGTCTTAGAAAATTACCAGGGAAGAGAGAACCCCTCTACCCCAAGCATCATGGCAATGGCTATCATTATCTTCTTCTCCCCTTTCCCTATTGTCCTGCCTTAGGGATACCTTGCACAGTTTGACAGCCTCTTTATCTGTATGCTCACCTTTATTTGTCACTTCTTAACCCAAAGTGCCTTGGTATTTCCCTGAATTTGCATCACAAAATCCTATGGAATAGGACTGGAATCATGTGGGTTGAATACAGGTATGAACAACAAGAAAAAAGCAGCAGGAAAAAGTGAGAAACCCTTTTACTCCTAGGGAAGAGGGAAAGCCTTAGAATGATGAGAGATTGAAGATTTATTCTATCTCTTACCTAACATAAGATTTTGCAAAAATAATTCCTTCTCACAAAAATCTTCTCTGATCACCCTATTTGAAATTGCCATATCTCCTCTCTGTAGTACTTCCCAAATCTTAATATACTGCATTATTTCTCCATAGCGCTTACAGATATTACATGCAGTTCAGATTCTACTAATTTGGTAGCTGTTGCACATTTGTACTATCTGCATATTAACTTCTGAAGACAGAACATTTTGCCTATTCTGTTAATCTACTGTAATTGTAGCATATGGCATGGCATATAAAACAATATGCCTGGCATACAGTATGATGGACTTCACGATTTTATGATTAACACATTAGTGGATATGTGCATACTTCATTTACTCTCGGCTGCTAGGTCCATGTCTAATCCGGAGTTTTCAGCTGTCCTGTTGTGCAGATATGGAACCTGTGTAAAACCATGTTGACATCCCAACATAGAGGCCAACAGGATACCCTAATCCTCCTATAACTATGAAATGAGATTATACCTGTTGCATTTAGAAAGCACAATTGAGAGCATCAATAGTGTCCGCATTAGAAACTTTTACTTAGTATTGGGAAGGATGATTTCCTCCAGTGCAAACTTCTGTCTCTTTGGCTATACTTACTTAGGAGAGAGGCTACTAGTCCACTGAAAATCTTATTTGGGACAGATTTTTCTTAGGGAATTCAACATGAAAAATGTCGAACTTGTCAAGCATTACCTTACTCAGAAGGGTGCACTTCACAGTACAATATATATGAAAGGCACACTCTTAAGTAGGGTACCACCCACAACATGGCTGAAGGTAGTTTCTCTGCCCAACTTATCCTATAACTCTGAGTTCTTCTTAAACATGTACAATTCCCCAGCCACCCACATCATGATATTTATCATTTTTTCATAAGAACTTAGCATTGCCCATTCTAGTGCCCGCCAGCTTCCATCTTTCTCTGAGTAAAGTTTCCTTCCCCTCCCCTAAGTTTCTTTGGATGGTTTTCATACCCAAGAGAGAATAAACCTGTTCCTGTTTTCTTCTTCCTGATTTAAGAAGTATCTTTAGCTTCTATAATCCTTTTTACAAGTTATTATTATCTAACCATTGAGAATATTTCCTGAAAATAAACTAAACTCAGCTAAAACAAAAGAGAAAAGTGATAACACAATACTCCCAAACCACCCATAATTGTTGTTACCCCAAGTTCCTTCATTCCAAATCCACTCAAAATTCTGAGGAAGGAAAGAAGGTACAAATATTGAAGGATGTAAATCTCATTTACTGTATCTCTTGAAATGAAACTGGCCATTTAAGAGATGACTATGCAATTCTAAGATAGAAATATGAGCTCAAATTCAAGAGATGTCCCCTTGTCCTTCTCTAAACTTTAGCTTATCTCAGCTCTTGACCAGAGCTCTGGCTGTTGACACATTTCCATTTTGTAAAACAGGCCACCAGCAGTCTAATTTTCAGATGATTAATTGAACCTGACAGAAGATGAAAGAGCATGGGAGTGAGATAGGAGAGAACAAACAAATCATAGTTGCAAAGAATGACAGCTATGATACTTAATTCAGGCAAGCACAGGAAAGAGGATTTGAAAACACACCTCTAGCGAAGTCACTTTTCACGGAGAGTAAGAGAAAGACTCAGAGAGAAACACTTATGTTGGACTTCCCTAGGTCCTTTTTATCTCTCAATAGTTTAAATTAAGGAATCAAGTTTCCATGTCACAGAACCATTAGAAATTTCACATCTTCAATAAATTCATTTGAGCCTCTGTGGCCCAAGTTTGTGATCTGTGATAAGACGTTTGTTATGGATAAAATCTCTATGGCCTCCTTTACCACCGACAGTCTGTTGACTAGTACTTATTTCTACCTCAGCTATGCCCTGCAGCCAGTCATAAGGAAGTGTAATGGAACAGAAAAGGAGCTCCTCCCTGGAGAACAAAGAAAAATAACTATCCTTTTGTGTTTTTCCTCAGGAGAGAAAGTGAGGATTCAAAGGATTTTTTGAAGTGGGCAGTTAAGGAATAAACCCAAGTGTATAGCAGTCTTTGGTGTTTTGGGGGTCTTCTAGAGACCTGGGAATAAAGATGGAAGCAATGCATTCACAGGATTCAAGTCCCTGGACTAACTGGTTCACTTATCTTTGTGGAATCAAGGGTCATCTTCCCTGATTCACCACCTCCACTGTCGAAGGGAGCTCTCCTTTTTATGGTTTTGAAGCAGTGTCTGCTTCATGTATGGTGCTTCTCATATGTACTTTAAGGTCTTTATGACATGGTCAATGTGGAAGGAAGCAGCATTCCCCTAAACACACATTCCTGTTGGCTTTCTCTGTCATGAGAAGTTCATTACCCCATTCATTCCTTCTACATTCATGTACTTACTCATCCTCTCAAATGCTCCATGTGTTGCTGCCTTTAAATGCTTTTGATATTCCAAGGATTAATTGCAAAGGCTGTTATTTAGAGTCCTAAGTCTAAAACATTCTTTAGAATATTTGGAAAGGTTTCCTTTGTTCAGTGACTCCTTTGAAGTGGGTTATTGCCAGCCAGACCTATATTCAATCAAGCACAGAAATTCTAAGATACCCTGGGCCTGTAACCAAGTCCAAAAATAATGTTCAACAGTAAAATTTCTTATTATAAACTATATCATAGTCATACTTGGGATGAGTATATCATTCATGTCATCTTTCCCACATATCATCCAGGAAGGTAGATGAACTAGATATTCCTAAAAAATATTCTGGGGGCCAGCACTGTGGCCTAATGGGTGAAGCCACCGCCTGCAGTGCTGGTATCCCATATGGGCACCGGTTTGAATCCCAGCTGCTCCACTTCCTATCCAGCTCTCTGCTATGGCCTGAGAAATCAGTAGAAGTAGAAATTCAAGAGATGTCCCCTTGTCCTTCTCTAAACTTTAGCTTATCTCAGCTCTTGACCAGAAGTCTGGCTGTTGACACATTTCCATTTTGTGGAACCCTGCACCCACATGGGAAAACCTGGAGGAAGATCCTGGCTCCTGGTTTTGGATTGGTGCAGCTCCAGCCATTGCAGCCAACTGGGGAGTGAACCAGCGGATGGAAGACCTCTTTCTCTCTTTGTCTCTCCTCTCTGTGTAACTCTTTCAAATAAGGAAAATAAATCTTTAAAAAAACCACAACTATTCTTGGCCAACTCACCCTTAAACAACAATCCCTATATATTCCAAAACAATCTCAATCTCAGTCTCTCTCTCTCTCTCTTCCAGAAGCAGACATGCAATTGAATATGAAAACAATCTTCAATGGTGTCACTGTTATCATCTCTACATATCTAAAGCAGCCAGACTTTCTCTCCAGTGAAAACATACAGCTTATGAGGGAGAGTGGGATGTGCCATGTGTAGACTCATACTGCATGTGGGTGGTAATGTTAGCAGGCAAAAATAGAGAAGTTTCTTTCCTTTTGGTAACAATCTAAATTTTAACCAAGGTATGAAGTAAGGGTGAAGACTGTGGCCTCTTGTGATGCAGCAATACAAAAAATTCAGGTTTGCCACAACTATAAATTTGGTTAAAGAGGGCTTAGCCAGCAGGAATAATAAGATTCTGCAAATGTTCTTATCCCAGAAAATAAAATTTGTTACCTGCTTTCCATGTACTGGTCCAGTTCTGCAGTACCTCCAATTATTGACTATGTGCTTTCTCTAAGTATACAGGGTTGAAAATGGAAACTCAATGGTATATAAAATTAAAAAGACAATTTAATGTTTTATCATTATCAAGAGTTCTGAACTACGGTTCATCCTTGTTAATCCATCTTTCACATAATAAATAAAATAAGTTAATAAATAAACATGTAATTAATAATTAATATATCAATAAATAATAGTGGAAAGCTATTTAAGACCCTCAATTAACTTAACTATGTTTAACTTTTAATAATTTGGTAACTTCAACTATTATTTAAGTTAATACAGAAAACAGGGAAATTTGGTTCTGTAGAGAGAATTGATGAAAAGACAGAGAGGAACACCTTAACCACACTTCAGGCCAGTTTCATCTCACACCCCACTTTTTTTTTTTTTTTTTGACAGGCAGAGTGGACAGTGAGAGAGAGAGACAGAGAGAAAGGTCTTCCTTTGCCATTGGTTCACCCTCCAATGGCCGCCACAGCTGGCGCACTGCAGCCGGCGCACTGCGCTGATCCGATGGCAGGAGCCAGGTACTTCTCCTGGTCTCCCATGGGGTGCAGGGCCCAAGTACTTGGGCCATCCTCCACTGCCTTCCCGGGCCACAGCAGAAAGCTGGCCTGGAAGAGGGGCAACCGGGACAGAATCCGGCACCCCGACCGGGACTAGAACCCG